TCGACACCAACGTAAAGTTGAAAAAAAAATCGCTTGCATCGACCACAGAAACCAGTTCGCACGCTCGTCGGACCTTTCGAACCGTTTCTTCGTGCCACGTGACGCAGAGATTAAGAACACAGATCTACACAATTAAACTTTTTGAAAACTGATTTAATGTCATTTTGGAAGGCTGATTTCAAAAATTCCATGGATTTATTTGTATCACCTACGTTTTTTTTTGCAAATATTAAAGAAAACAAAAAACTTAAATAAATCATATTTAATAATCCTGGACAAAAAAAAATGAAAAAAGACTTTCTTGAGTGAAATCTTCCTCTTTTTGCCAGAAATCTGCATTGTCCGCAGTGTGTTTTTAAGGGAATATCCCGCTTTAACATCCAGCAGTAGTCCGCCATCATGGTTATGCTACGCCTTGGTCCTGACGAAATCTCTCACCCTATTCTTCGATAACTGGTCCAAGATTTTTTCAAACTCATATTACAACCTAGACGAACGTGTTGAACAACACTTAAAGTTCCTAAGAAACAAATAAAAATATGTTTCTGTTTGCCATATTAGTAAATTATCCAGAGGTTTTTCAAAACAGATATTTCCAAGAAAGAAATGTTCAGAAAACGGTAACTTATTAAATGACAGAAAGATATGCCGGAATCTTAATGTTTTAAATGAAGAAAATAAAGAAGCACATCCAGCTTCCTTTATTAGTATAAATATAATGCATTTGAATTTCGTAAAATTAAAAAACTAAGCGCGTAACAATGTCAAAGGAGCATGCAGTTTTGTTTGGATCTTTTAAATAGACATAATGAGGATAACAATGTTTTGAAAAACATTTGATGGACTGATGAAAGTTGGTTGGTAGTAGACACAATACGCGATCTAGGTCTTTAAATAATCCTAGACAAATACACGAAATAGAAACCCAAGGGTACCAATCAATTAATGTATGCTGTGGTGTTATAGATTATTTGCATCTCTTAGAGCACCAAATAGAACAACATTTATTTATTTATTTATTTATTTATTTATTTATTTATTAAAGTAAAGTAATCAACAGGCTAACGCCCAATAACAGATTACAATCAATCATCAGTAAGAAAACAAAAAAAAGAAAACACATGCGTAAGCAAAAAGTTTCTTCTAATAAATTAGCATGCTACTTTTTAATAGTTAATTAGACTATAAGTTATGGTATCATAGTAAATTGGTAAACAACAATAAAAAAAGCTATAATAAAGTTTGTTTAAAATTATAATTCGAAAGTTGCAGAAACCAATTTGAAAAATGTCCACATTAAGTTGCACATTTTGTACAATATATTATGTTCCCCTAGATTGGTGTAAGCTCTAGGAAGTTCAATAGTAATATCATTCCTTGTTGAATATGTAGGCACAATAAACCTTAATTCACTAATTAGACAAGAACAATCTATTCTGCCCCAAACCAGTTAACAAAAAATATTGCTTCAGCAATTCTCCTTGTTTTCTCAAGTGTGCAAACATCAAACTCCTCAGTCAAAACGACATAGGGTACATCAAAATAATAAATATCATACTTCTTATAATAAAGGGACCTCAAATTTTCTTCTGGATCCTTTTTAATTCGTCTTTATATACGGAATATTACGAACCCCAGATAATCGAACAATATTCGAGAATACTCCTAACATATCCATTATACAGTAGATTCAGCGTTTCCTTATTTTGAAAACCAGAAGAATTTCGAACCACAAACCTTTTTTGGTTATGCTGTCTATATGTTTATTAAATTTTAGTCAGGGATCAAAAAGTACGTTCTATTATAATTTCTTTGACTTTTGACTTGATCTTCTGCTAAATGTCATGACTCAACATTAGCTGATATTGAAATTTAGTTTATTTGTTTCTGACCATTTCATTACTTCATTTAAGCCCTTTTGCAGCAATTCATAGTCTTCTCTACATCGAATTTTTCGAAATAATTTATAATCATCGGCAAAAAGAAGATTAAGTAAATTTGCTGCAGATTGTGGCACGTCATTGATCAAAATGTCAAAGAAGAGTGATGCAAGGTTCGAACCCTGCGGTACCCCGAATGAGCTGCTAAGGGCTCCGAAGAGGCACCCCTGTCAAACACATATTGTTTCTGGGAGCTTAAATATGAATATATAGAAGATTTACCCTTAAAGATATCAGCGCTGATTATATGACAGCAAGACGGTGCCAATCCTCACAATGTTGTGCAAGTTAAAAATTTTCTGAACATGGAATATCCCAGGGATTGGATATTGAACGGCGGAACTATGGATTGGCCAGCCCACAGTCTCGACTTAACTTTAATGGACTTTTTTCTTTTGGGGACACATAAAAAATCACGTCCACAGAACTCCTTGTAATAATGTCGTGGAAAGGATTTCAGAGCAATGAATCAGTTAAGTTAGCGTCTTGTCATTTTTAGAGTTTTTATTCTACTTTAATTTGTAAATAATTATTATTGTCGCAGTCAGTGACGCCGCTCTTTGAAATTATTTTATATTTTTGCCGATTTGTCAAAAACTAGTGGATAGTGGAAATAAGATATTCTATTAAACACAATATAATATACAGGGCGTTCCGTTTAAAAAATATGATGTAGCCTTATATGTCAGAAAATTGATAGTGTTTTGTTTTATACGTCCCTTGGCTAGCTTAACCCTACATTTTGTTTTTGTGTTTACCTTGATATATCTAAAACCAAAATATTTGCAGCCAATCAAAACGTAATCAAGATAAATTGAACGCGCGGTACAACATCATTCCCAGCGGCACGTAAAACCAATAAAACCCGCGCGATATCTACGTCATTAAACGCGGTCTATTCTAGTCCCTGAAACTGGGGCAGTGGTATCGGGCGTCCATTCCTGCAGCCCGGAAATAACCAAGCGACCGGCGGCAGCAGGGAACAGCAGGAAAGTAAAAAGCGCGGGCGCCTGCCGCCGCTGCCGCTCCTGCTGCTGCATCGGCAGGGTGAGACGGATTCTCAATGTCAGCTGACGGCCTTCGCGTTTTATTTATACTCGCCGTACGTCCATACTGTGCGTTTGCCCCTGGTGCCAGCGTACCGGATTACGTTTCCAACAACCGCAACTGGTGCCACTCCTTCGAGATGCTGCCCAGAGTTGGATTTATGCGATTTCGCTTTCGCCATCGCGCGTATGGCAATCGATGCGACACAGTACTCTGAAATTACTATCAATATCATGACAAAGTTAATAAAATGATAATATTTACGAATCTTGTTGACGTTTTGCCAATCATCCTGCTGGCTTGATTTTTTTTCAATCTAATGGTAGAATGCTCAATAACAAGGAAACTAGAAAACAGATCACGACGCGTCTAAAGTTTGTCAGCCCAAAACGAGCACTCGAATGTAATGTGTTGTGATTAACCAAGATCGCAAAAGAGAAAAAAATATACAACACATTTGATGCACTGATGAAAGTTCGTTCACTACAAGAATGGGTTGTAGTAGACAAAATATGCGATATTGGTTTTTAAATGATCCTAAACAAATACACGAAATAAAAACCGAAGGGTACCAATCAATTAATGTATGGTATGTATGTATATATGTATGGACCGAAGAGGGGAAGATAGGCTATGTTCCATTTTTTTTAACAATAAAGTGAATAGATAGATACCATACCATTAAGTACAAAAGATAAAAAAATATACAATTATATACATGTGTATACACAATACACATACGATTAGATAAAGTCTACAATAATAATAGGTATAACACGTAATGCATAACACATAAAAAAAACAGGAATAAAAATGAAAAAGAAAAGAAAAAAAAGGAAGATACAGAACACAACCAAACAGTGGCCACCATCAAGAATCTGGTAATCAGGTAAGATCTTTTATCATCTATTTGTTTTCCTCTACAGAGTAAAAACAATGCTTAAAAAAAATATTTTATTTTGGTTTTGAAATTTTTAAATAGCAAGTTATATAAACCTAGGTCAAGAGAATTTTTCATGCTTTTAGTGTATTTAAACTTCCTTCAAAATTTGAGGAGGAAGTGGGGTGTGTATGATTATCTGCAAAGTAGAGATCATTAATATAAACTAAAAACAATAAGGGACTCATAATGGAGCCCTGTGGAACTCCGTGCATTACATTTTATTATTGCAAAAAACTGCTTGATTTCTGTTAGGAAGATAACAGGATAATACTTAATATTATCTCATTTTACGCTTGATGAACTTAGTTTTGACGAAGTTAGGGAAATCTTAAATAGTATCAGAAATAAAAATTGTTGAGAGGATATTACTGCCTCCCACAAAACTTATAAATTTAAGTATTCAAGCCAACACTTTTCCAGACATTTTAAAAAAAGCTCTAGTAATACCAGTTTTTGAAAAAGGTAACATTGATGTTGAAAATTATCGACCTATATCTCTACTTCCAATTGCTTCAAAGATTGTATAGAAATGTATAGCTAAGCAATTAGTTCAATATTTCGAAATTAATGGCATGTTTAATAATAATCAGTTTAGTTTTAGAAGAAATGAAAACACTGTTTCAGGCTTTCTCAATTTAGTTTCAGACATTACAGAATTGGCAATGTAACAATGTATTATTTTGTGATCTGACCAAAGCCTTCGACTGTGTCGATCACGGAATTCTTCTGGTTGCTAGCAAGGCAGACAGTTTTAAACAACATGGCTGTTGTCCAGAAATCTAATGATAATTATTTTTAAACTGAAATATCTCAAAAATGTCAATAAACTACATGTTTTTGAAATCAGGGAAAAAAATATACGATTTAAGCTAATAATATATAGGGCATTCCATTAAAAAAAATGTTCCCGTTATTTTAACAACTTGCGATAGTCGTTTGTTTTTTCTGATATTGGGATTGTATTTACGCTTTTTTTTTCAAAATTAATCCTTTAGATGGGTGTCAAAATGTAATGAATAACTCAAAACGTGACGTAACTGCCCAACTGTTCGGACCGGAGTTTGCTGCCGTCGACAGAGAGTTACTTGTCAAAAAGCTGCCAGTTTCGAAACAACTAAAATCAAAATGCGGAAATTTTTGTCGCGAAAGTCGCCCAAGGAGGAGTCGGAAAAAGCGGACGATGACCAATACCACCCAGCAGCCGACGGCAACCCAAAGCCTGCCTCCGCTAAACAAGGATGTCGTCCGCGAATAGATTACCTGGCGTTGCCCAACAGAAGACTGATTCTGGCTTTGTACAAGGATCACGCTCACCATCTGCCTAGGGAAAAGCTGGAAAACGTAGAGCAGCTTCTGCAAGAGCTGTACGCGATGACGCCCGAGGAAACGGAACGGTATTTCGCTCACCTCAGACGGCAAAGCGAGGAGAACGCGAAAAGGAAGAACCTGAAAGCTATGCTTAAGAAAGTGGTTCGGAAAAGGAAAACCGAACGGCAGCGACACCAAGCGTACGAATTGCTGCGCGAGCTCTTGGTGAAAGGCATGGAGCACGCTCTGCGGCATCCCGTACCGCCTCTGGTGTCGGTACGGCTGAGGCACCTCTCCGACATGATTTTGGAGCAGCTCAGCGACTTGCGTAACGTCGAGGTTCCGTCCAGACATAATCCGGACAACGTGGGTGCGTTCCTGATTGCAGTATCCGACTGGATGGCCGTAGCCATCGAAAGGATCTACTACGGAGTTCAGCTGAAGAAAAACCAAGAGCTGGAACAGATAGAGGACGAGTTTAGAGCCAGACAGGCCCACGTCAAAGACGTAAACCGGAAGGACGTGTCGGAGGCAGATGGTCAGGAGAGACTGGAGGTGGAAATTGATATAGTTGAGACCGATGCCGGCGATGAAACTGAATAAATCCCTCTGAGAAAGTGTCGAACGTTATTTCTCATCACATTATACAGGGCGTTCAAATTATAGGTAAAAATGCAAAAGACCTAGAAAATTGTTTTTTTACAGAGTAAATTATCAAATATCGTAAAAAATATGGCTAATCGGTTTAAAAGGTGTCATAGGCCGCATCAAGAGCTACAATTTTTCCATATTGAAATCGTTATTCCGGGGCTGTCAAGACCCGATGACGTCATTGATTATTACATCGCACTGCATGGTTTCAGAAAAAAATTATTTTCTCGAAAACCATTTAGTAATTGCAAAAAATTCTTGAACCGGGACGCGTGGAAAATCCAGGGCTATAACCTCTACTTCGAACAATGATTGTATCATATACAGGGTGTGTCGTTTATTGGCCAAAAAATCTAAAATATCCTAAAAATTTCCGTTTTAATATTTACCGATGTTTGCTGTAACTTTGAAGTTCGACGAGATGTGAAGGACATTTACTTCGATTTTGCCTCAAGAAGCTCAGATACTCAGTACAATTTAGGACCGAATCTTAACATATAAATACCTAAACACCGACTGTCTCATACATGAAATAGTCCTTTTGTTATGACCGTAAAAATTTATAATAAATTGCCTATCGAACTGAAGCACATAGGTAGTCAATGTTAACGGTTTTCCTTCTTGTGAACCCTGTTAATACGTATTCCTTGTTTGTTATTGTTTATATATTTGTTATTTATCCAACATTGTTAATTTTTATTATAATTTTTAATTAATTAATTATACTAAGATAATTTTAAATTTTTATATTAGTATTAGACTGACCATTGTAACTCAAGTCCTATGGAAATAAAGCTATCTTTATCCTAAAACAGAATGACCCAATATTAGGTTTGATTTTTTATAGATAAGAATGTCTAAAAATGCGAGGTTATTAGATTCTAATTCAATGGTAAAACGTATATTATTTATATAATTACAGTATATAATAACAAAAATATTATCATAATTATGGTTTTAGATTTAACGTCTCGAGAGCTTTCTAACTAACCAGAATATCCTATGGACCTGACAATAGGTCGAAGGGATGATCCTGGTTTAGGGATCAGTCTGGTGATTGGTGAAACGTCACCAACAATGGACCTAAGACGAAAGCAAAAGATTTGTAAATGGTAATATTAAAGGTTGTACACACTGCAAGTTCACATTGGCACGAGTATACGGTATTACTAAAAACGCAAATATATCCTTTTAGAAACGTTTTTCTACAGCGTGTGAAAGTATTAAGATTTCTATCCTGTCGTTAAATTTTATTTAAAGAATAAAATTTTCATCTAAAAATTTTGTATAACTTTTACGTTAAGCTTTTGTATAAATTTCCTGTCCTGTGCGTCATTTTTATTTATTTCCTTTAATAAATCCGTAACTTTGAATAACCTACTGCGTTTTGTTTCTTTTTGAGAGAAATTGAAATTTTTTATTATTTATTATTCTTATTACCAAACGACAAAAACAAAAAATCAGGACAAAGACGACTTTTTTTTTGGAATAGCCGAGTTTACACCCGTAAAGCAGTTGTTAAAATTTTATAGCCTAAATAATAATCATCCTGTTGGCTTCTTCAGAGCTTGACTGAAACTGGCTCGCATTTTACTCTGTACCTGCTTATATATTGGTGACGGGTAGAGACCTGTTAGGTTGCTATAGACTCTCGGATTTTTCGTTGGTAGAAGAATTGATTACGTGTTCATGTTCATGTTCTTTGAGCCTAGTTGATATTTTTTGTCCGGTCTCTCCAAAATATATTCTTTGCCGCATGCGCATAGAATGCTGTAAACTCCTGGCATCTTAAACGGAATTTTGTCTTGACGGATCGAAGAAGTCGAGAAATTTTTGGACAAGTGGTAAATCTGGTTTGGACGTTATACTTCTTTAGAACTTTTGATATGTGGTCAGTGGTGTTTTGAAGGCAAGAAAGGACAACAGTGGCAAGTGTAGGATTGCTTTCGGCCTCATTCCTATTAGAAGGTTTTGGTGAAGTGTATTTTGTGATGGAACGCTTAATATCTTTAATGTGGAAATTATTAGAGACAAGAGCAGAGGTAAGGTGTTTAATTCTGGTTCTGGGAAAATTAAATATGGCATAATACCCTGCTGAAGATTACTAACCACAACAGCTTTTCAATACCCAAACGTCAGATCATAAATCACTAGTATTTTAACCTCTGATAGTCCGTTTTCTTTTGTTCGAACGGGACCGTATTAGTCATTCGACGTGTATTTACATTTCCTTTAAAAAAAGAACTGGTAAATTGCAGTATCATTATTCATAACTGTTGCTAATTTATCGCATATCGCCGATTTTGATTATTAACTGGTAATAAAGTGACACTTACGCACCTCCAGTACTTTAAGTCGAACACTGACGGTTCACATAATTTTCGAATACAAAATTATTATTATCATTACAAAAGGCTAAAAAAATATTTTAGCAGCCAAAAGTCAAATTAAAAAAAAAACGAAACACGGTCATCTTTGTGCATGATGCAAAAACCATTTTTATCAAAATCGATGAAATAATGCACATAATCCTACGATCCTACTGCCTGGAATATAGTCAATCGAGTTTTGAATAATAATCAGAACTGATTCATCGAAATATTTTATGCCAGAGAAATCAAAATGGCTCTGTAGGGTGTATTCTTCCAGAATGCAGCTTACAGCTTCCTGGAGAAGCTAGGGGAGGCCAGAATTTTTAAATCTTTTAAAGTAGTATGGATATGACGGCGTGTCCTGATATGGTCTTTCTTTGCCACCTTGAATGAACTTGCTTACAGCCCCTTATCTCAATAATACAGAACAATATATTGAAGTGCCAGATAAGACCGACCCTAACAGGAATTAAGTTACGTCGAAGAGACTTAATGGTAACATAGGAGAGCCTCAACGTTCGGTTCTGGGACCGCTTTTCTTTATTATCTGAATAAATAGGATTTTTTAATGTCTTGACGGTGATTTTATAAAACTTCTCTTGATAAACTGTTCGAACGACAATAAAACGAACTTTATCCAAAACATAAAAGTTGCTGAAGAAGGGCTCCTGAAGGATGGCACTGATAGCAGACCAAAATCAAAATTTCAAAAATCACCGTGACAGTTCATCAAATGAAATGAAATTTATGTCCATAGACGTGATTTCAGGTATCGGAAAATGTTAAAAATATAAACAACTTATTGCAAACATTAAAATAGTATACAAGTTGAAAAAAGGATTACAACAATATGTGAAGCTACATGCATGACTAACGAAACGAACCAGCTGTTTCGGTAAAGTAGACAAACGATTAAAAAGTTTTTTCGGTAAAACAACTAGACTATCGGCAACTATGGACACTTTAAGTCTGGGATTCTTTGAATTAAAATTGCTGCTCAACCGTTGATCCAAATTAAAACTAAAAAACCCGGAAAGTATTTTCAAAGGAAACCCCTAGGTTTAACTAACATTGTTCTTATGATTCGCTTCTGCAATCCAGCCTTAGGTAGAAAGTTTTTTTTTTATTAGTCCAGAACGAGAATCAAAATAGGTACCCAAAAATCTGGCTACTTCCTCGCAAGAAAACAAAGCAAATAAGATTTTTAAATCTACAACAAGATTGCATGCTAAGATACTTTTGCCCAACCCTTTATCGTTTATAAATGCAACAGGGCAAAAAACTTCTTCTTCTTCTATTAGTGATAAATATGGAAAACAAATCCAAAGATACAGCAACTGGGTCGCCAAACAACACTCTTCTGGACGCTATTGAGAAGGTGAAGATTCAACTCTTCAGCAGTTTTGGAAATATTATTAGATCTACGCATAAAGCCATTGTAGTAGTTGTAGTTGTTGTAGTTCAACCAAGCACTTCACTAATAATGTGTGGAGTTATCCACGGTTCCCAGGGATAGGCAAATATCAAGAAATGCGCTATGAAAATAATTAAATTGCTCGTCTAAGTTATTGTCAACAGCACCTAAAACCGACCAGTCAACTTTTGACAATTTGGTCGGCGTCTACGTATTCCTTATCTTAATAGGAAATAGAACCAACTGCAGAAAATGGTCTTAAACATCGGCACACACTGTTTTCAACTCACGTGTGCACTTTAAGAGCATACAAATGTTGCCTTTAGCCGGTACTCTTATTTTCAGAACAAACGCCTATCTAAATGCTGAAACAAGCAGTCATAATATCCGCAATCGTCCAGAAAGTCTCCTGACTGAATCGGAATAAAAATGTTTAATCTGCTGCCTACAAAAGTAAAGAACCAAGAGACCGTTAAGCATTTTAAAATCAAACAATCGATTCCTGACAAAATAAATATCATTTTCTAAAAAATATTCCTGGATTTTAGTTTTTGAACTTCCATGACAATAACACTGTTATTGGGGATATTTTTGAAAAGATTGTTTTGAAACCAATTTTCGAAAAGTTCGCCACTTCTATGATCATGATACTGCAAGCAAGAATCCTTAATATCCAAATCCATCTTCTGATTCAGCGTGATGATAAGTAGACAGGTGTCTTTTAAAGCTTCTTGTTACTGTCGAAAAATCGATGAAACTCATATCTCGGCGGTCCTAGGGGAGCCCCATTGGTACAGAAATGATCAACGTCGAAAAAAAAAACTTTTTTTTCTGTTCTCCGTTTCTCTCTAAAGCTGGCATTAATTGACTGTATCTTTTGAATGGTTTGCAATATGGCTTTTCAAACTTGGCTCCTTTTAAGCCATGCACGAGCTACACAAACCAGTAAAAAATAGGTCCGCTTAAACCACTTTTTTTTAGATTTTCGTCTGCTTTTTTGACTTTGATATAAAACACGATAAGTGTCCGAAATTTGGAGTTATCTACTTGAAATTAGACACATATATAGAGTTTAGAGTTAGAGTTTAGCGCCTATTGAAACTGGAGCGGTTGGGGGGGGTCGAGAAGTATTTCTTAAAAATTAAAAACCGCACTTGCAGGGTATCGATAAAAAAATCATTTCTCCAAGATGGTAT